TCCCTAGTACAGTATGTGTGTTCCCAAAGACATCACTTCGTAAACAAGGGTAAAAAAAAGAAACTTTAGATCCAAGACCAGCTGGCCCACAGAGCTTTGTTCATCTCTGAGGTAACTAAAATATGAAGAGTGTAATAACCGAAGGAATAAGAAGATGGTCAGTTCAAAATAGAAACATGTATGAAAATACTTTCGGTTTAATGATGGTTTAATGGGGGATTTACTTGGAGTTTTATTTCTTGGTTTGACGCTACTAAGTATATTCTGTACGTAACCACTCTGTATATCATTCTTGCTCTGAGTGTTTCTAAATAATGAATAACCAGCTCAAGAACAGATTTTTGGAGGACCACCTGGTTGAAATAAGATGGTATCTTTAGGGGCTGGCAGGTGGCGTGGTGGTTTAGGCGCTGGACTCCCACATGGCCGACTGTGGCTCAAGTTCTGGACTTGGCGGCTTGCTTTCTTGCTTTCTCTCTCTCTCTTTCTATGATGATCATGCATGCCCTGTAGCAAATTAAAATAATAATAGACAAATAAGTAAATAAAATTGAAATGATTTTTTAAAAAGAGAAGATATCTTTATGCCCCTGTGTCAGGGGCCTCAGGCCCATTCTCAGGCTCAGTGGTGTGCTAAGGATTCACAGGACTCAGGCTGTTTTACTCACAAATATGGTTTGTTACAGTGAACGGATACAGGTCAAAATTTAAAAAACAGCAAAGGGGAAAAGCACATAGGCGATGTCTAGGAGAAACTGGACATGAACTTCCTGTTGCCTTCCTATGGAGTTGCATGGAGTATGCTTAGTTCTCTCAGTGATGGTGTGTGACAGCCCATGTGAAGCATTTCCCACGGGGAAACTACTTGAGTCTTGGTATCCAACTATGCTGTTGGGGACAGTCCCATAGGCATACAACTCCTATGTGGCTGATCTTAGTTATACAGTCTCCTGCCCCCCAGAGGTCAAACTGATACATGTGGCCAAGGATCTCAGACACACAAAAGCATGCCTTCATCATAAGTCACATTTGAGCATAACCTATCAAACTCATACAACCTGGCCTAAGAACACACCCATACAAGAATACTTTATCACTGGGACCAGCAGTTAGCATAATGGCTATGTTGCTGAACTCCCATGTAGCTGACTGTGGTTCGAATACCGGACCCGGTGGCTTAAACTCACGCCAGGCACGTGTGCATGTGTGCCCAAGATCCCTAGAGGAGAATGGAGGAGAATGGATTGCAGCGTGGCCGTCCCCCCTGGGGGGGTGATTTCTCGCTTTCTCTCTCTCTGTTTCTCTCTGTCTTTCTGGCAAATGCATGTGCCCCATAACAAAAAACTCAAGAAAAAGAAAAAAAAAAAGAATACTTTATTATGTAGGATGCTCTGAAGACTCAGAAGTCAGCTACCGGGAGCCAGTCAAGGGCCAACCTTCCTAATTCTCAGTCCTTTCTTTGGAATGTGCAGGGATCCAGCAGCCTGGGTTAGTTGAGTTAATTTTCCCTTGCATGGTCCCCCTTTAGTGTTGTACAGTTAACCACAGCAGCAAAAATAGTGGTGTTTGTAGCAAGGGAGCTTTGCTAAAACCAATGAAGATGGTAGAGAGACAGAGTATAAAGAAGGCTATAGTGTGTGTGTATGTGTGTGTTGTGTGTGTGGTAATACTGAGAATGGATGATCTTTGGTGTTATATCTGTCTTAATGTTGATGCTGAGAGAAAGATTTCCAGAGTAAGAGAAAGCACAGTACTGATTGGCATGTTTCTCGTTTCCATATTCTACATTTTCAAAGAGGATAAACATACAATGAAATGCTCTCAACGCTTAAACCAAAGATACCCTGGGACCAGCAGTTGGCGTAATGGCTATATCGCTGGTCTCCCATGTAGTCAACCACGGTTTGAGTCCTGGACTCGGTGGCTTAAAACTCACGCCGGGCGTGTGTGCGTGTGTGCCCAAGATCCCGAGAGGAGAATGGAGGAGAAGGGATTGCGGCGTGACCATCCCCCCTGGGGGGTGATTTCTCACTTTCTCTCTCTCTATCTCTCTCTCTCTGTCTGTCTGGCAAGTGCATGTGCCCTATAGCAAAAACCTCTCCAAAAAAAAAAAAAAGAAAAGGAAACCAAAGATACCCTCACTCTTTTTGCTATCCTTTAAAGTCAGTGGTTCTAAGTGTATTTTACAATCATCAGGAAGCTTCTAAAGTTACCAATGCCTGGAAAACAGCTTTAAAGATTCTAGCTTAACTATCTAGGCTATGATTTGAGAACTGATATTTCAGAGTCTTTCTTAGGTAATTTTTTTTTAGACATTTTTGCTATAGGGCGCATGAGCTCACTAGAGAGGGAAAAATTGAGAGAGAAAAAGTGAGAAATCACCCCCCAAGAGGAGGGGCCATGCCACAATCTCTTCTTTTCTTGGGAGTTTGGGCACACATGCACAGTTGCCCAGCATGAGTTTCAAGTGGCCAGGTCTGGGACTCAAACTGTGGTTGGCCATGAGGGAGTCCAGCACCTTAATTACTACGCCACCTGTTGGCTACTCTTAGGTAATTTTTAACGCACAGAGGCTGGGGAACATGCAATTTAGCAGGAGATAGAACTGGGAAAATGTTGGGTTTTTTGTTTGTTTGTTTTGTTTTTTTAGAGGTTTTTGTTATAGGGCGCGTGCACTTGCCAGAAAGACAGAGACAGAAAGCAAATCACCTCGCAGCGGAGATGGCCACATCGCAATCCCTCCTCCTTCATTCTCCTCTCGGGATCTTGGACACACACCCACATGTGCCTGGCATGAGTTTAAGCCACCGGGTCCGGGACTTGAACCATAGTGGGCTACATGGGAGTTCAGCGACATAGCCATTATGCCAACTGCTGGTCCCCAGAAAATGCTGGTCTTTACAAGGCCAGTGTTTTTCTATCCTGCCTGGATGTTAGACTCACCTGGGAAAGGGGACTGGCTTATAAATAGACTGATTTTCATGTTCTACTCCCCGTGGTTCTTGTTCAGTTGGTGGATGAGTCCTGGGCATCGTTAACTCTAATGTGCAGTCAGGGTGTGAACTACTGGCCTAAACAGTTCATGCCCCTATGGTCCCTCCACCCTGCTCACTTGAACATGGTATCATCCTATTAAATTACAGAAGATAGGGTATAGTCTTCAGGAATCTCAGTGAACCATCAATGCTCACAATGGGTACTTGCGGTCTTTGTGTAGGTGACATTTGATTTGGGATATGAAAGATAAGAAGTCAGTGACAGGAAGACCCAGAAGAGCACACTAGGCAAACAAGGTGAGAGGGATCATTGGGTTGCAGAATAGAAAGGACACTGTGGTTGAGGTACTGGAGTGAGAGAAAGAAGTGATACAAATTGAGGGCTGAAAGGAAATCAGTAGTAGATCACACCAGACCCTATAGACCATTCTATGAAATTCAGAATGCAGTCCAAGGTTAATGGGATGCATTGGCAGTGTTAGGGCTTCTAGTCATGTGATTCACATGTACCTTTTTGTCTGCAACACCGGTGGTAAAGAGAGGAAGAGAGGACAAGAATGAGCAGGAAGCCAAGTCAGAGAGCCTTAGTCATGGTCTGAGCAGGAA